GTTTCTGACAAGTCTAGTAATTCTAATACTTGTGTTGCCATATGCAAATGCAACCTTGCCAGGGCCTAAAGCTAAGAAGCACTTCGTGTTGGTTCATAGGGGAAGCCATGGAGCCAGGTGCTGGTATAAGATTGTGGCATTGATGAGATCTTCAGGGCATAATGTCACAGCAATTGACTTGGCGGCTTCAGGTATCAACCCCAAGCAGGCCCTTGAAGTCCCACATTTGTCCGATTACTTTAGTCCCCTAATGAAGTTCATGGTTTCACTTCCTGCACATGAAAAAGTGGTCCTTGTAGGCCATGAATTTGGTGGCTTTGCCATTTCTAAAGCCATGGAAAGCTTTCCGGAAAAGATTTCAGTTGCTGTATTTGTCACTGCTCTAATGCCTGGTCAAATTCTCAATGCAACCACCATCTACACCGAGGTTCCAATTTTTCATATTCCTAACTTTAGCCATGAGATGATCTGTTATGTTTGCTTACACTTTCACATATTTGAAACTAAGTATACTTTGTTACAGCTCTTGGCATTCACTGGTGTATTATCTGCACTTGATAATCGTGTTACTTATGATAATGGACCTACCAATCCTCCAACAACCTTGAGTTATGGTCCCAAGTACTTGGCAACTAAGTTTTACAATAAGAGTCCAATTCAGGTAACCAAAGCATAATACAAATACATAATTGAAATAGCCAAGTTCTGTTATTCTGGTCAAGTGAATGGCCCTAAAGTGACTAATGACTTGCTTTGCCAAAAATTATTAGTAGGCAAACATTTAAACTAGTTTATCCAAATTATAGATCTATTTGAGTACTTACCGCAACATTGACATGAAACTGACTTAATTCAGTTATTTTCCCTTCTTGATGTTAGGATTTCGTGCTGGCCACTACAGTCTTAAGGCCGATATACATATATAGTGTGGAAGATGTTTCTAAGGAGATAGTCGTGTCAAGCAGAAGGTATGGATCAGTTAGGCGAGTATTCATTGTTGCTGCTGATGATAACCTTCTGAAGAAGGAATTTCAAAAGTGGATGATTGAAAAGAATTCAGCAGATGACGTGGAAGAGATCGAGGGATCTGACCACATGATCATGATGTCTAAGCCCAAACAACTTTTAACTACACTTTTAAGCATATCTAACAAGTATAGCTAAGAGATCTTAATTAAGAAGAATAAGAGAAACAGGTGTAATTAAGGCTGAGAATAAAACTTCAGTCAATTCACATTTCTGATGCATTGATATGACTATTTCAATTCTTCCATATAAGTTCTACTGCTGAGTTAGTTAGTTTGATATTTCAGTCAGTTTCTTTCAGTTGTTATTTCCTTTCATTGTAATTTCAGTATTTGGAATTGACATCAATAAACAACCTCTATGTCCTGTAACAACTTAATTTTAGTTCAAGATCAAACAGTTAAATTTCTAAGCTCACTCAGATAGGTGCACCCAATTATCAATGTAAGTGTGAGTTCACACATTTATATTTAACTATTTTTTACAAAATCTAACACTCCTTTATATGATCTAGGGATGGGAGAATGGGTCCACGAGAACCTGGGACCTCCCACCCCTATGAATACAAGTAGCCAATGCCTCAAATAATAGCCAGTGCGGGTTGCCAGCTTTGCATGGAAATAAGTTATCCAAAAGTCAAACTCCTCTTAAAAAAAATATCAAATGCCTCAAATAATAGCCAACGTGGGGTTGCATCTGGATGGAAGAAAGTTAGCACAAACCAAACTCCTGTAATTATATATAAAGTTTCCTTGTATGGTTTGAAACCATCTGCTCATAAAAGGAAAGAAGATATGGAGAAAAGCAAGTCACAACAGGCAGATGCTACTATGTTAGAGCCTAAAGCTAAGAAGCACTTTGTACTTGTTCACGCGGCATGTCATGGAGCCTGGTCCTGGTACAAGATTGTGGCACTGCTGAGATCTTCAGGGCATAATGTCACAGCTCTGGACTTGGCTGCTTCAGGAATCAACCCGAAACAGACCTTCGAAGTTCCACTTTTTTCTGATTACTTGATTCCGCTAATGGAGTTCATGGCTTCTCTTCCTGCACATGAAAAAGTCGTTCTTGTAGGCCATAGCTATGGTGGACTCGCCATTTCTAAAGCCATGGAAACCTTTCCAGAAAAAATTTCAGTTGCTGTATTTGTCAGTGCTCATATGCCTGGTCCAAATATCAATGTTACCACAATCTACACTGAGGTAGCGATGTTCCATATTTCCAATAATTAGCAATGAGATGATCTGTTATGTTTATGCAACTAGCTTTTACATATTTGAAACTAAAAATACTTTGTTACAGTTATTCAAGTCAATATCTCAACCTGATAATCATATTATATACGATAATGGGCCTACAAATCCTCCAACCACCTACATCCTAGGTCCAAAGTACATGGAAACTGATGTTTACCAGCGGAGCTCAATTCAGGTAAGCAAAGCATAATTCAAATATATAGCCAATAAGTTTTGTTATTCTGGTCATGAGAATGGCCCTAAAGTGACTCCTTTCGCCAAAAAATTACTGATCTAGTATTCAGGTACTTAATGGCGACAATAACTTAGAGCTGCATGGTTTAAATCGGGTTTTTTTCCTTGCTGGAGTTAGGATTTGGCGTTGGCCTCTACACTAGTAAGGCCAATAAGCTTTTACAGTGTGGAAGATGTTTCTAAGGAGATAGTTATTACAAACAAAAGGTATGGATCAGTTAGGCGAGCATTCATTGTTGCTGTTGAAGATAAACTTTTGAAAAAGGAATTTCAATGGTTGATGATTGAAAAGAATCCACCAGATGAAGTGAAAGAGATCCAGGGCTCTGACACAATGATCATGATGTCTAAGCCGCAACAACTTTTTACTACTCTTCTAAGCATTGCTAACAAGTATACCTAAGATCAAGATGTTGATTAAGAAGAATAAGTGTGAGAACAAAACTTCAGTCAATTCACATATCTGATGCATTTATATGACTCTCAATTCTTCCATATAAGTCCTATTGATCTAGTTAATTTGATATTTCAATTAGTCTCTTTCAGTTGTTATTTCCTTTCAGTTGTAATTTCAGTATTTGGAATTGAAATCAATAAACAATCTCTATGTCCTGTAACTACTCAATTTGGTTCAAGAGCAAACAGTAACTAAAATCTCATCAATGAAAAGAACAATAATGGTACATAATTTTTATACCGACCGAGTAATCCAAGTAAATCTTTTAGAAGACTACAATTTTATTTTAATTGGGAACAATAAAAAGAACAATAATGGTAAATGAAAGTTCGTTAAAAAAAACACCAAATTTTGAAAGTTCATTCCAAATAAACACTAAATTTGGAAACAAACGATTAACTTAAAGCATAAAACTGTAACTCCATCACTAAATATATTCTTTTAACTAAGGGCCAGTTTGGTCATAAAATTTTACAGTGATTAAAAAAATTTAGGAAATATCAACAATTTGAAAGATTTAAAGAATCTAGGGAGGGGAGCATGAACCCGGACCCCGAATATAAATAGCCGATGCCTCAGCCCTCAAATAATAGCCAACGTGGGGTTGCTTGTGCAGGGAAGTAAGTTAGCAGAAACCAAACTCCTTGAATTATAAAACTACCTTTGTAATGTTTCATATTATGTTTTCATTCTTAAAAGAAGGAAAAAAAGATACGGAGAAAAGCAAGTGGCAACATGCAAATGCTGTTGTGTCAAAGCCTAAAGCTAAAAAGCACTTTGTGCTTGTTCATTCAGCATGCCATGGAGCCTGGTGCTGGTACAAGATTGTGGCATTGATGAGATCTTCAGGGCATAATGTCACAGCTATATATTGACTTGGGTGCTTCAGGGATCAACCCGAAACAGGCCCACGAAATCCCAAATTTTTCTGATTACTTGAGTCCGCTAATGGAGTTCACGACTTCACTTCCTGCTGATTAAAAAGTAGTTGTTGTAGGCCATAGCCTTGGAGGACTCGCCATTTCTAGTAAGGCCATTTTATTTATACCCTGTGGAAGATGTTGCTAAGGAGATAGTTCTTTCGAGGGAAAAGTATGGATCAGTTAGACGAGTGTTCATTGTGGTTGCTGAAAATAAAGGTCTGAAGAAGGACTTTCAACAGTTGATGATTGAAAAGAATCCACCTGATGAAGTGGAAGAGATCGACGGCTCTGACCACGTGACCATGATGTCTAAGCCCCAACAACTTTTTACTACTCTTCTGGGCAATGCCAACAAGTATACCTAATTAGAGTTGTTGATGATTAAGAAGAATAATTGTGAGCTAAAGCTGATAACAAAACTTCAGTCAATTCACATATATTTGATATTTCAAACATTTCCTTTTGACTGTCATTTCCTTTCGTTGTAATTTCAGTGTTTGGAATTATCATCAATAAATAACCTCTATTTTCTGAAATTACTGAATTTCAGTTCAATTTGAATAAATCTCATCAATGGGAAGAGGATACAGATGTTGATACTGAAGAATCAGAACAATATGAATGAAAAATATGATGTAGATGAACAAGAGCTTATTGAGGCCATTTGCTAAGAAAAAGAAGTTTGTAGTACAGGCGGACTCTGGAGCAACCCACAACGTTCTAAATGAAAAAGAAAAAGTTTAAATATATTTAGGCGATGCAAGATGGTAGTCCAATGACACAGAAATCTGTTCAAGATAACTTTAAGCTTTTAGATCAGATGATGACATAGTTTAACACTACTTACCCAAGACGATAGTAGCATTTAGTGGAATGCCTGTTGTAGGATGTACTTTGGCAAACCAATAAGCTAAGGCACAAAGCCTAGCCTTCTCAAATGATGAAAATGTACCTTGTGGAGCCAAAGGAGTGATGTGCATTTATTTGGTGTACCACTTCGTAATAATATTAATATTGTTTTAATAATCAATGACACCTTCATAATGATCTAGAGAACAGAGGACAACAAGCTGTAGAGTATTGCATGATCTGGTGAAGGCATTCTTAAAGCTTGGCAATTGCATATCGAGGTAAATCTAATCTTGGAGGCAGCTTTAGGTCTTCCCAATCTTCATCATCTATCTTGGAGAAGTAACGATCAACATCATCATCTCTAATTAGTTCCAGTCTGGAGGGCTCCCACTGAATATACATGAAAAGATAAGCACAAGAATGAAAGAAGCTCTCGATATCTAAATTCAGGATTATCCATGATCAAATGAATATAACGCACCTTAGGATTTTTATCCCTGTCGATGAATATGGCTCTGTATCCCTGCAGTAAAAGTGTCAGTCTCGTAATGCAGTAAAATGAGATGGCATATTGTACCTCAACAACATCCTTGCTAAATTCTCCCCTCAACACATGACAAGCTATCCGATACTCACGGACAAGGCAACTACCAACACCTTGAAGCCTCCCTTCTCTTATCTGGAACAGAAAAAGGAACCAATCTGCAGATGATCAAGAACTCTCCAAGGAAAATGTTGGCTAAATCATTGCATTAGGATTGTGTAGAAAGAGATTCAAGATGTGGTTGTGAGCAAGACCTCATCATATTTTTTATTTGAAGAACTTGCATCACCAGCAATACTACCCTAGTATCAAATTTTAAAAATCTAAAATAGATAATCTTTGTTGACACCCAATTTTGACCCTCCCCGATGTAAATTAATCATCGAGCTTCTTAAATTTCAAACGATTTCGAATAATTAGTTTTAGAAAATAAAAATAATATATATATATATATAATTAAATAAAAATATTTTCAAGTCATTTTAAATAGTTTATCACTTATTTATAATTTTTAAATAATATACGTGTTATGTATATAATTACCATATTTTATGAATATTCAAAAATCGTCTCAAAAAGAGTTTGTTTTAATTAAATATTCAATTAAATTAATTTGGTTTAAAATACTTATAAGTTATTTAGTTTAATTATTCTTATTTTATGTTATTTTATTTTGTTGATTTGAAAAGTGCATTTTGTTGATTTACGTTCTTTAAGTTTTGGCGGTAGTTTATGTTAATTAGTTTATAATCGAATTATTTATTTTATTTCGTTAACATTAAGAAGCTCATTAATTAATTTATATTAATTCGTCTTATTTAGTTACTAGCCGAATTAACTAAAATAATTCAATTTGGCTAGATTGTTAATTCATCTACCTAACCCTTTATTCCAATTCTAGTCATTTATTCCCTCACCCTAACTCAAATTTGAGACCAAGTTGGCCCAATTCTATACCAAAACCCATCCCCTTTTGCTTTCCAATTCAGCCGAGACCCATTCCCAATTCCCAGCCCAATTCCTAACAATTCTATAACCCACCAAAAGCCAACAATATAATACCCATCCAGACCAGCCCAATAACCTTTGACCCGGCCCAAATCCTTGTCCAAAAGAGGACCCAACGTGAAATTTCCACAAGCAACATTCATCAGCAGATAGAGACCAAAACAGAGCAACTTTCCAAACGCTAACAGCGATCAAATGGAAAGCAACAACAACGTTGATTTTTTCAAGCGATTTCAAACGGACATAGACGGAAAGCAGTCTGCTACGTTTCCTCTGTCTTCTCCCCTCAAATCGTACAGTAGCAGAAGCATGCGTCTGCCCCATTTCCTCTTCCGGAATAGGGCGAAACCTCAAGGAAAAAGGTGTTTAACCGAAATGGTGAAAGAATTTTGAATTTGAATTTTTGAAATGGGCTTCTGAATCCGATTATTTCACCCGAATTCCCCCCAAAATCTGCCCTAATTTTCCTTCTACATAAACACTTATTATTCACTATTGAAGGAGGAGAACGTTAGAGACAGGGGTTAGATTTTTTGGGAGAAAAAATTTAATTTAGAAGAGATATAGGTTGGCCAGAATTTACCCACGAAATATAGCTTACAAAGGTTTGAAATAGTCGACTTTATATTTTGAAAAATTATTGGAAGACTCTCTAGTTCAAGAGTTTCAGAAAGTTTATTATTCGGGTTTCATTTGGATTCTCTTGGTGCGTTGTTCTAGCTTTGAATTCGTGTGGCAGAGAGGTCGAAATCAAGCTCGTATCTGTCCCGGAACGCTGCTCCGAAGAAGGTAATTCCGCCTCTCCTTACATTCTATTTCGGTATAATGTGTTGTAAGTCCGAGCTTTACTAACAGGTCCTACTATTGATGGCGTTTGGTATTTTCCTTCCCGAATCTTTACTTGAGAGTTATTGCATCTGTATTATTCATTTATATTGTGTTTAAGCTTCAAGTGTACCTTTATTCTCTAATTTTCAAAGTTACAGCAAAAAAAAAAAAAAAAAAACCTTTTTTAATGCTCCATGTCTTTTGAAATTTGTTCAGACTAGTACATGTTGTAATATGAACAGTTGAAAGTATTTGTTTGAAGGAACACTTTTGCTTGAATAATGTGGTGTGATGCTTGTCCTTCTTTGAATCATTGTAGTCATGGCTTAAGCATTTTTTCAAAGTGATCTTATCTTTGATGATCTCGTTGGTTGTAGTTAGAATTTGGATGATAATTTAGCACTTTATTTAGTTTCTATACAAATCTATTCTATGCCCTCTTGAGGACAAAGCTAGGGCAAGCATTAGAGTTTTCTTCTGTTAAGTTTTGAAGTTGGATTGTTATTCGACTTCTGCAAAAGGCATAGTGGCATGCCCTCCCTTCCTCCCAGCATGTCCTAGAGATGACATTAGGAGTAGCATGTGATTATCATTTTTCTTTACTTAATTTTATTTTTATTTATTTAATCTTGGCTGTCCATGATCTCTTATTATTCTAACCCTTAAGCTCATCCTATGATTTGATTATTGTTGCCTACTATGTGCATTTAAGTAGTTGATTAGTTTTGGTCAGTTTGAGCATATTCTAGATTGCATGCATAAATGGGTTATCTATATGCTTTCCAATAGGGTCCTTTGACATTTTGTAAATTCTTGATTGCAATTTTTTCCTTATTGGTAGTAACAAATTTGTTTGTTAATGAACCTTGAATGCTACTTACTTCCTATTCGTATTAATTTCAATTTTTTTTTCTTTTCTTTCGTTACTTCTTTTACATATGACACCAATCCGAGTGCTTTTGGACTCCCCTCTTTGCATATCTTTGAGTTCGATTGCTTCGAGTCAAACCTTGACTATCGTTGGAAAGTGTGCAAGCTGAAATGCATGTTAAAGGAAGCTTGGACAGGTTTCTGAAGCTGAAAAAAGGCTTGGTCAAAGAGCTGCTTACACATGACTAAAAACAAGATTACAGGTGTTCGGAAGATGGAATAGACTGTATACATTTAGTGTATGCGCTGATATACAGAAAACAGGCCACCAAACAGCCTATATACATGAGTATACACTCAATATATACACAGATTTTTTCAAAGGAAATAGGCCCAAAAGCCTTGGACAAATTTCAGCAGGCCCAAGTGGTGAAAATGGGCAAAAAGCCCAAATTCAAATCTTCCCTCCTTTTTCTCCTTTATTTATATTGTATTATTTGACTGACCTCGATTATCTTATGATTTAATTTAATCAAATTCCCAAAGGTTGCTATCTCATGTTATTTTCCAAATTAAAGTATATACATATATTTTATTACTTAGATCTTATTTTAACATTAGTCTTGCCAACACTCAAGTCTATTTCCCTTTAGTTCATTTCCCTCTAAGATAAATAAAATGATAAAAATAGTAATAGTAATAAGTAAATAAAGAATAATAAATAAATAAATAAATGAGTCCTTTTATTTTTTCTCAATAAAATTGGTTAAAATAAATTGAGTTCTTTACTTAGTTAAAATTTTAAAATTAGTCAAAGTCGTTAGGAATTCATTTACTTAGTTAAAATTTCAAAATTAGTCAAAAATTATTTTGGTCAAATCGCCGGTCAACCGCGAGTTAGCGGGCATTCCGAGGGCCTAACACCTTCTCGGAATGTACATTTGAACTCGAACCCTCTTTCAATTGATTTTATCTGTTTAAATCTTTTGAAAAAATCTTGTAGTTTTTCTTGATTTTTTATCAAAAATTAAGTGGCGACTCTGATCTTTTGGAAGATTCGATTTCTCTTAAACTATAAGTTTAATCAATTTTTCGAAAACTCAGTCATTTTTCCTTTTACATATATTTTTAAATAAAACAATCTTAATCCAAGCGTAAAATCCAAATGATCTTTCAGAGGTAGCAGTTACCAAAAAAAAAAAAATGAGGCCCAAGGGTCACCATTTTAGATAAGTTAGCCAAGTTAGCTTGGTCTAAGAAAGGATTTTTTTTTTTTAATTCAATAGAATTCCTCAGGGACAGCGACAAAGCCAACAGAGGTGAATATGAAAAGGTTGAGCCTGCAGGAAAAGAGTGGACATATATTGTGGTTTACCAATGTTGTTATTATGGTACCATCTCATAAGACTGCAAAATCTGTATGGATATATGATTATATGAATAAGAAATATGATTTCAGTATTCATCTACCAACTCTTTCCATTATGCACAAAAAATCAACAGCAGTGCACATAAATACCTACAGTTCCCAGGATTATGCTGAAAAGAAAACCTGCTATCCTTATTGGATTAATGATATCATAACAGAACTGCATTAAAACCTTACACCTCAGGGTTAATTAATTATATGCATTAACCTCCCCAATATCCAACCAAGCTAAGTATGCTTCCTTTATTAATAACTAGAGATATGACGTTTTGCCGTATTTCTTCATACACAGAGGCGTATCTAGAGGGGGTGCCGTGGGTTCACGTGAACCCATGCTCCCCTCTCTAGATCATGTGTAGTAGTGTTATATTTAAAAAAAAATAGATGTGTGAACCCATGTTCAAAGTATATTATATAATAATGCGATGATGATTGGGTGCACCTTTCTAAGTGAGGATATAAATTTAAATGTTATATCTATCTTGTCTCTGTGAGTAACACCTTTCCAAGTGGTTATCGGTTACACTTTTGACGTTTCAGCTAATTTTGCTTTTGTTTTTTTCCTTTAATCTTTCAAAATTTTCAAGTGTGTTACATTGAAAATTCCTAAAAAAATAAATTATAATTAAATCAATGTGTATATTAAAATTTAAAACTAGTAGTATTATACATTTTGAACCTATAATTTTTAAAATTTAATGGTTCATATACGAACTAAAAGTCAAATTGATCAAATTTATATTTAAAATATATTTTATCGTAATCGTGCACCCATCTAACCGAAATCCTGGATACGCCTCTGTAATCATACATGACCAATTTCTGATCAACCTGAAGAAAGAATGGTACATAAGTTTAGGTAACAAAGTAATGGTATTTATTGACTTACTGATCTCAAGGAAATTTTAAGGCTTGTAGGGGATGCTTTCTTCAGCGATTGAATGGATCCATTCACCCTTCTTGTCCAAAGCCTCACTTTCCTAGTAAAAATTCATGCATAGTTCTTACAAAGTATTTTAGTAACTAATTATAAGTATAGTATTTGGTTGCATAAGAGTAATTAAAAGTAAGTTTTACAGAATGGTGGTTAAATCGTTGGGGTAGAGAACTGGCTAGTTATGGATTCACATCTACAGAGGAGTAATTTTTTTCAATCCATGATCAAGTATGGCAATATAGTGCTTTTACATATTTTTGTTACTTAATGAACAAAGATCTACAAAGTCGATCTTAATCAGAAAAGAAGGAATCTCCCGAGTCATGATGAATCTTAGTAGCACACTAAGGTCTGGGTTTCACTTGGGCTTGCATAAGTTAATTTGTAGGTTTGAAAGTTTTCGCCATTACAATATCCAACAGATAGATAAGTAATTTTGAACTCGGAATCATTATTTGAGCGATTTGTCTTTTTGTTCCCTTTGTGATTTGAACTCACAAAGTTAGGGTTAGAGATATTAGAAGGTGTTTATCACTCGAAGAACTCCTCTCATCTGAATCAATTCATTTTAATCGTATGCTCTAAATAAATTACGATGAATTCTATCACACACACGTCAACTGGGCGGTGGAGCCTTCACTAATCCAACTTGATTTTCTAATCACGTGATTTACACCCAAAGGGGAGATGCATGTTCAATAATTGGTATTCCCTCTAGTAACTAATGTTCAATAATTGTTTCAGATTAGGACAAATCAATTACAAAGACTTTTAAAAAGAAAAACACCTCTTCGTCCTTTTTTTTTTTTCTCAAGTTTCTGTTTTATGATATTTCTCGTCTTTATGAAATAAAACAAACTTATTTTGACAATTTCTGGATATATTATATAGTCACGTGTTTGTGTTTTTTCGTCTTTTGTTATAAATATTTGAGTTTTTAGCTTGTTTTAAAAAGATTTCACTCATACAAATAAGGGAAAAAGGAAAAATATACCCTCGAACTATCGTAAATGGTATGCAAATACCCTCCTCCGTCAAACTTTTGGACATTGGTTCCCCTACCGTCCAAAAACTAGAACATATATACCCTTTCATAATCTTATCCATCGATCCGACATTTATCAACGGATAAGATTGCGCCACGTGTCCCTATTTAGTCTTCCGTTAGAGTGAAGGGCATATATGCTCTAGTTTTTTGACGGCAGGGACACCAATGTCCCAAAATTATGACGAAGGGTATTCATAATATACTTCAATATATCTACTAATTTGGTTCTTAAGAATTCTATCTACATGACAAAATTCTAATCAGAATCACATATATTGTGCACTAAATCCTACTAATTAAAAACACCAATTCCAAAAGAAGTACTAGTAAATCAAATGAGCTAGCTGTGGTGAAGTATTGAACTTGAACACAAAAAATTCAAAGCTTGGATCTACCGACAAATATAAAAGTCAAATAATAGCCTGACGTCTACATAGCACGAATCAAATTAAACTCCTTGAATTATAAAGCTGCCTAGTAATGGTTCCTTCTTCAACAGAAAATTAAATAAAAGAAGATATGGAGAAAAGCAAGTCGCACTTTCTGCAAGCTAGTTCATACTGCATTCCACGGAGCCTGGTGCTGGTACAAGATTGATGACATCTTCAGGGCATAATGCATGTAACAGCTCTTGACTCCCCAAACAGGCCCTTGAAATCCCAAATTTTTCTGATTACTTAACGGAGTTCATGGGCAAATAAAAAAATAATTCTTCTAGGTCATGCCTTTGGTTTCTAAAGCCATGGAGACCTTCCCAGAAAAGATTATCATCAGTTGCTCGGTGGTCCAAATATCGATGCAACCACCGTCTACACTAAGGTACCAATTTTCCATATATATTCACAACCACCGTTTCGTTTGTTTACATGTTTGAAACTATATGTATATACTTCATTATAGGCGTGATAGGTAAACTTGATAATTGTGTTACATACGAAAATGGACCACGTGACTTCGTTAGGCGAGTGCTCCTGAAAATAATCCCCTGGCTAAGGAATTTTTAAAATTGATGATTGAAAAGAATCCACCCGATGAAGTGAAAGAGATCCAGGGCTCTGACCATGGTGTCTAAGCCCCAACAACGTTTTACTACTCTTCTGATCAGCATTGCCAACAGGTACAACTAAGTGCTATTAATTAAGAAGAATAAGGGGGACAGGCTTAAGGCTAGAATATTAAAACTTCAGTCAGTTCATATATTTGACCATTTATACGATGATCACAGGATCTTCCATACAAGTCCTAGTTAATTTGATATTTCAATCATTTTCTTTCGATTGTTATTACCTTCCTTGTAATTTCAGTGTTTGGAATTGACACCAGTCAACGACTTCTATTTCCCTAATTACTGATTTTTTGTTCAAGACCAAACAGTTAAATCTCATCAATTGGGAGGAGTTGATACGGAAGAAAGTGTTGGAAATCTTACGGAAAATATTTAGTCACATAAGTTGTAGAGAACTCTTTATAGTTACAGTCGTGTTAAGGATAGTAATGACACTATCCTTAAAGATATTTCATCCAAAATTTATCCCTAGATTCGACAAACTTTTTCAATATAAAACTAGGAGCACTGAAACGGACAAAGATTAATCATTAAGAAAGAAAATCCTAACACTTTATAATATGTAGGAAGATTTTGTGTGGATCTCTGCACCCAAAAAAGAATTAAGGACTTAAAAATATATTAATCAAGAAAAGTTACCCTCAGAATGGTTAAGGTCTGATTATATATATAACCGACCACACAATTTTTTTTAATGAAAGAGTTGTACACATCTAGCCAGCTATCGAAATTAGAAAAAGGAAAAATAAAAAGAGTAACACGAAACTTCCTTTTTTGTGGCATACCTCCCTTTTTGCTTAAAAATGGACTACTTAAATTTTTTCCATATTGTGCTCTCAAATAAATCACGAAACTACTTGCTTGAGGATTTTAATCAATTGTTACCAGCCATGAAGATATGCCTAATGGATGGCTTATAATTTCATAGGTTAGTTTGGAGTAAATAACTCAAAAAGTTATTCAATTACGACGAATTGTGCAGTTGTATCAATAAAATCACTACCACTCACCCAAATTTGTCAAAAAATATGACATGGCAAAATCTCAAGTATTTTGTAAGTTAAGTCATGCTGCTTGTGTTTCAAGACAGGAACCACATTTGCTTGTAAATCAGATAGTTCAGAGTAAAACTAGTACTAACACGGGCTGTACAATTTAATGGCAAAGTATTAAGTGTTGCACAATCTACCCTTGTGCTTGAGGTTTGACATTTCAATTCAATGGCTTAAGTATCATGTAGTAATTTATCTTACCTTTGGCATTTATACAAAGGAGTGATGTGCATTTATTTGGTGTACCACTTTGCAATAATATTAATTGACACCTTCATAATGATCTAGAGAACAGAGAGCAACATGAAGTTGAATATTGCAAGATCTTACGAGGTCAATTTTAAAGCTTGGCATTGCATATCGAGGTAAATTTGATCTTGGAGGCAGCTTTAGGTCTTCCCAATCTTCATCATCTACCACCTTGGAGAAGTAACGATCGACGTCATCATCTCTAATTAGTTCCAGTCTGGAGGGCTCCCACTGAAAAGATAAGCACAAGAATAAAAGAACCTCTCGATATCTAAATTCAGGATTACCCTAACGCACCTTAGGATTTCTATCCCTGTCAATGAATATGACTCTGCATCCCTGCAGTAAACGTGTCAGTCTCGTAATGCAGTAAAATGGGTGGCTGAAAGATGGCATATTGTACCTCAACATCCTTGCTAAATTCTCCCCTCAACACAATGATAAGCCATCCGATACACACGGACAAGGCAACTACCAACACCTTGAAGCCTCCCTTCTCTTATCTGGAACAGAAGAAGGAAACTAATATGACCAATTTGCAGATACTCAACAACTCTCCAAGGAAAATATTGGCCAAATAAGGCATTAGGACAGTGTAGAAAGAGATTCAGGATGTGGTTGTGAGCAAGACCTCATCATATTTTTTATTTGAAGACCTTGCATCACCAGCAATACTAGTCCAGTATCAAATTTTAAATATCTAAAATAAATAATCCTAATCCAATCGTAAAATCCAAATGATCTAACTGAGGTAGTTGTTAACAAAAAAATGATGCCCAAGGTCACCATTTTTCATAAGTTAGCTTGGTTTAAGAAAGGAATTATTTTTGTTGATAATCAAAGTTTCTTAATTCAACTTAATTCCCCGGGGATAGCAACAAAGCCAAAAGGGGTGAATATGAAAAGGTTGAGCCAGGAAAAGAGTGGACATATATTGTGGTCTACCAATGTCGTGATTATGGCGTCATCTCATAAGACTACAAAACCTGTATGGATATATGATTATATTAAAAAGAAATATGATTTCGGTATTCATCTACCTACTCTTTCCATTATGCACAAAAATTGTACCCACAGTTCCCAGGATTATATAGAATTTTAACATTAAAAAAAAACATTGTATCCTTGTTGGCTTAATGATATCATAAAAGAACTGGATTAAAACCTTATCCTTCAGGTTTTATATGCATTATCCTCCCAAATATCCAACCAAACTATGTATCTTTCCTTAATTATCAACCAGAAATATGGCGTTTTGCCATATTTCTTCCTACATGACCAATTTCTGATCAACCTGAAGAAAGAATGGTACAGAAGTTCAGGTAACAAAGTAATGGTATCACAAGGTAGTGATTGACTTACTGATCTCAAGAAAATTTTAAGACTTGTAGGGGATGCTTTCTTCAGCGATTGAATAGTTGAAGAGATCCAGTCATCCTTCTTGTCCAAAGCCTCACTTTCCTATTAAAAAATCATGCAAAGTTCTTACACAGTATTTTAGTAACTTACATTATCAGAATTTTACATAGCAATTTCACCACAGAAAAAAGGACACATCAAACAACCATCCATCTCCCAAACTTACAAGAGTAGATATGATTTCTTCAATTGTCCCTCGAGAGAAACATCGATTAATAATCTTCATCCTACATGCATAAATACCATTGGAAAGAGGTCATGAAAATCCAAAGACTACAGGTTTGTTTTAATTGAACAGTATTTTTCTTAGAGACGATGGAAACTTTGAAATGCTATTCATCATCTTAAGCTGCTAATAGCGAAATAAAGTAGAGGAAAAATAATCTTACAACAACAGGAAGAAAAATAACAAGAGAGCAAAATAATCAAAAAAAAAAAAAGCATAGATGATGACTTCTGTGATATGCCATCAATATCATGTTCTTTAATAAGTTCAAACAATCACCTCTACGCACTGGGACTGTGTTTAGAAGGTAAGCTTCCAATAAATCAACAAGAAAACAAACATCATAATAGAGATACTAAATGAGCTTACTTGTGATAAGGACTTTCTTCTTTCAACTTTGGTATGTGGGAGAAGTGACTAATGATAGCAGATATAGCATCTGGATCACTCGTATTGACTTTAAGTAGTGCTTGTTCTAAAAGTGGCAATTTCTGTGAACATAAGGAAGAGACAAAGATACAAATTAGATCAGAGACAAGAGGAATGAACAAATAAACAAATATTATGCAATTTGATGTATATCAAGATCAATGAACCACATTTTAGATATGCCAATACAACTCAGGAAAGGCCTCGTACACCCCCAAATGCAAATTACAGCTCAAAAGTCTACTAGTGGCTAAATGAAGATTCCACAAATCCATCTAGGAACCATTTCAAGCATGGCTGACAAAATCCAAATTCCAACAAGCATGTTTAGCTTGGAACTGCAGGGAAAGGTAATTTAGAAATCACAGAGAATTTTTCTCCAAGGACTTTGAATTCATATTTGTTGATACCCAATTACCGGAAAAAAAAATCAATGCGCACATTGTATTCTTCATGATAAATCTATAAGCTATATTAATTAATTTAATTACTAACTTCGGAAAAGAAACAACATAAAATTAATTATTACAGGCATGAAACTACTGAACTTGCTGCTGCCACAACCAAACTAAGTAGAACAATTTGCAGATGACAACATAGTCAATTGGAGGTTTAACATCGAGCACATACGTTATCTAGAATACATTGGCAAAAGTGCAACTCAAAATTAAGAACCATGTTCCCAATTAGATAAGATGAAATGTCTTAAGAGAACATAACTAAAAAGATTTATAAGACCTGTATAGCACATAGCAGATAAGATTATCGTCTTCACACCATAAGCCTGACATCTACAGATAGACAAAGGACTGACAATTTAGTTCTTAAATGTAAAGGGGCATATCAGGGTTGCCGTTATATTAACATGCTAACCAGTTTACACATAATAGTAACAGAAACCTAATTGATTTCCTATAGAAGCAATTGAAAATGGGAAGAACAAGCTGAAATTGAGGTAGTATACATCCGAAGATAAAAAGTGGGTTGCAAGACCACAAGCAAGCATTTCAGCTCCATCCAACCGAGAACCAGTAAGACCAGCATATTCCCCTGCCAAAGAGTAAAAGAAATTAGCTAATGGAAAACAAGATCGTACAAATTCTCTGGGCATCATTGACAACGTAGGAAATGGTCATCCGCAATCATAGCAACATAATCAGAATAAATAAATTCACGGAAGAAAAGGAAGGATTATATTTCTAAATAAAATCGGGTATAATTCATTCAAACATTTCAACGATTTTATTAAAAATCTCAATTTTCAAATATCCTTGTAGAGAAGATACTATACATATCTTCAAAAGATATTTTACATTTGTAATGATTAAAAAATTTCAGCAATCACCATGAAAAGTTGAAAACTAAGGCTGAAATATATAATGACTTAAACCTAAGAATTCAGCATAACTGTGAAAACTAAGGCTCACTGTGAAAAAGTTTTATAGACACTTCTATGTGAAATGGATTGACCTTAGTTTGTGTAAAGAGTGCAAAATTACTTTTAATGCGGTAAATGGTGAAAAGCAGATAAAAATGTCCAGAAAACTCAGACTATAAGAGAAGATGAACCAAAAGCCACATAACTGCTGCTGCTTTAATCCATGGGGAATGTTCTACAGGAGAAAAGGACCTATCTTTTGTTTTTAACTCTTTTTACTAATTTTGATTTTAAGGATATCATGGATGAAGCAGCACAAAAATTGCAAAGTAGCTGAGCTAACAGTTCTCTTAAGATATCCTCAACTAGTGGAGCTCGAGGAACCAGGTAGTCACTTCAATTTCAAACAATGAGAAGTAGCAGAAAAATCCACAATGAAACGTGAGAGTATTACAGCAATAGCAGTCATTTTCTTTATAAATATGAACAATAAAACGTGGCTAGTGAAATTACCAAAGAATCCTGGAAGTCTTGATAAAAAGTAAGAGGCTCCTACGTCAGGAAAGTGTCCCAAATTTGTTTCAGGCATAGCAAATACCTACAGAGAAACATACATAAATATTAAATTGGACATGAAGTTTCTGGCATCCAATTACATATAGCAACCAGTATGAATAAGGTACGATTTACTGCCTGAGGAAAATAAACCCTCAATGCAAATCCAATGTACAAACTAAAGCTCATGAAGATTTACAGTTTGTATGGTTTTCCTCTAACTTTGCTCTGGTTATGCTAGAGCCTCTTTTTATGAAGAAAGGTAAAATAAATAAATTATGAAGGCTCTGAGACATAGTACATAGAACAAAAAGTTCTGCTGGATTTGAATCCTTCAATTCAAAACTGTAAGAATTCCAAGAGCTATTTTGCTACTGCTATTCCACATGAACATTCGTATATTGGTTTAATCCCTAAAGAAGATATAAATAGACTAATTTGAAGCAAACCACAAAGAATGTGGCAAAGATCAAATACAAAAGGGTAAACAAGACAACGAGATTAATCTACTATTCAAGTAGAGGCAATACCAACTTTTCTGTTGCAACTCGAAATCTACCATGTATAGAAGCACCAGCTCCGCCTCCCATGACAATTCCATTAAGGATGGAAACCTTCAATGGATAGTCCAAACAAGATTAAGGAAAATTTCAACGGAAGTAATATCACAGAACTAAAATTAGACATAATCTAATTTAACCTAGGTTTTGCTATACGTTGCCATCACATAGTTCAAGGTGTACTGCTTTAGGAGAAAATTAGCACCGATTTTCCAGTTACCTGATAAGCATGAGTAAATAAATATGTTCGAGAAGTCATCAAGAGTTAGTGAGACAAGGTTCAAAACTCTGTGGATAATGGGTCTACCTCTCTACCCTTCCCCCACTTGAATACTAGGCTTTTATTTGCAGCAAAGGTTTGAATCTGTAACATGCGCGTAACCCACACGGCATGTGTTGTGCGCTTAGCACTAGACTAAAGTCTTGAGGGACATTTGTAGTGATATTTTAAAGTTTTCTTTGATTTTGGGATACTTGGAAAGAAAGGGCCTACTATTTTTTTGCCTCCCCTTTGGACTTGAACCCTGGACCTCATTATTCTCCTCTCACTTTTTTGACCACTAGGTCACACCGTCACACCCTTGAGTGGACATTAAATGTTACTATATATTGATTGCAAAAAACCTAAACTCTCAGGAAAGAGAGAAACAAGACGGAGTTGCCAGTTTTTTAAGAGCAAAACTAGTACAAACATATGGACTTGGATAACATCCGAGCTTATGAGATTGAAAGAAATTACTTGAGGAGTTAAACTTCAGATCACATGGATCCAATTTTAAATACCATCTATAGATTGTGTTTGACAAGATATTACCAATATAGCAAATAATTACCAGGTTTCTGAAAAAAAATGTAACATCACCACCAGCACAAAAAGCCCTTCCATGTCCTTGGAAAATATTGATACAAGAAAAGTAGTAACAAGAAAAACACTATATACAGGGGAATTAAAAGAACTTTGAAGCTTACAACCAGAGCTTGAGACTAAAACCATAAACTGCATACACTACTAAAAAAACACTATTTTCCCATTGAAGTTCCCCACTAAAAAATGCTTAGTGGTTATTCCCACAAGATATTTGATTGAATCGGTGAGTAAAGAAAAGATAGTAGTGTTTTCATATGGAAATATTTCTGCAAAAAATTATTTCCCACCATGCATTTTTTCCAGTGAACTGGTTAGGTGGACTCCCTTGATTTTATTTCAACAAAATCACCCTTCGGGGTGGCCCAGTGGTTTGGGCTTGGGACTTCCATGTTGGAGGTCTCAAGTTCGAAACCCCTTGCCAGCGAAAGCAAGGGCTTTGCCTTCTGGGTCGAGCTCGTCGCACCGGGCTTGCCTAGTGCAGGTTACCTCTCCTATGTGGTTTGCGAGCTATTGCATAGGAGCGGGGGTTTTACCCTGTGCGCACTCAAAGGGTAGCGGCTGCGGGTTTCCCTTGTCATCAAAAAAAATAAAAAATCATTTTGCTGAACTGTTTTTTGATACTGTGGATTGTTCCGATTGCCAGTATGCCGAGGATAAAGCTAAACACTAGATTGGTCAGAACCAGTGAGATATCAAAGAGACGAGACAGGGAACAAGCTGAAGTTCTTCAATAAGAAATAAGATTTGAATAAGGCAACTCAAAATCAATGCAACTCTGCCAGCATGTAGTGTCTAAATATTTTTGTAGGCAAAATCCACCATCAGGTTACCAAGTTACCCTCATGTTCAGCTATGACAGGAAACTTAATTATCACAGAAGATCCTCCTACTATTGAAAATACCTTTAGTATTATCATCTTCACATTAGGATCTTCTTCACTGGCATAGAAAAGTTCTGTAAGCCGAGATATCTGGATAAACAAATAAGTTTGAGGGAACAGTTATCACTTATAACATGTCATTATATGTCAGATCAATTTCATTAGAAAACCAGAAATTTACTCAAATATCCTGTGACACGAGGATTGTATGACTAAAAAGCTCACTTGTTCACCAAGTAAATATAATAAGAATAACCTATTCCTTATAATTGTATGAGAATACAGAACACGAATCCAATATCAAATTAGTGTTCTAGCTATCATTATCATGAGCAAGCAACAGATTCATGACCAGTGATTTAATGTCATTAGGTATGGTTTATAGTCAAACCAAAAAGCAAAACATCATAAGACCAACTTAATGAAGATTATATAACAAAGTTGCATGTCAGTACATCTTTAACAGTGAACAAAAAACATACTTGAGGTATTTAAATTTAGCAACTTCCATTCTTATGTTAAACTCTGTTAGAAAACTAACAAACCACATCATGTGCAACTCTTGTGACTCCAAAAGCTCCAGTCCCCTTAATCAGTCATTTTTTGGCTGAACAACAAAGATGAATGCCTTTAAAATATTATTTTTTTTATTACATATGAAGGAAAGAAAATCAAGAAACCCACTCAGAAAATATTTTTCAAGAAAACATCTGCTTCGATGAGAAACTGGAAAAAATGATCACACAAGAAACCAACTCAAATCATGTAATAGCCAGACTTAGTTGAGCAATTTCTTGAAAAATAGTCAATTGAAAAATTCTCCAAAATTCAGAATTTCAAAAACAATGGAGAGAGTTACGGCGACATTGATATCCAGCCGGAGTAATTTTAGGATTGCTTACACAGAAATCGCCGCTCGTGATGCCATTGATCGGAACCCTAGATCCGGAATACGACCCGGATGAACAAAAAACAAAGTATTGAATCCTAACCCGAACCAGTCTTCCGATCCGGATTTGGATTCTACTGCTGGTCAAAAGGGTCTCTTTTTGGTTACCCGACTACAAAATATTTGACCGTTTACCCTTTCATTTTTATCTCCGACCCACCCACTTTTATTTTACTCTCTATTTTTATATTTAGAGAGTAAAATAAGAAATGAGCTTGCCAATCACTTTATATTTCACTTTATTCTCTATTTGAGACGTGAATAGTAGTGTTCTTCATACTCTCTATTTTACTTTTTTGATTATTTATTTATTATATAATATTTGTAATTAACATATTATAAATCACATGAGACAATTAATTAAATCTTTGATATTCGTAACTCTTTTTAATATAATATGACATTTTAAAAATATATATTATTTAATGTATGCTACTTTCTTCCCGAATTAATAATTGATATAGTTTAAAATTATTATTATTTTCACTATAAAGAATGTACAAAATTTAAAATGATAGATGAAATTATTTTAAAATACTATACATAATATAACAATTTAAATACAAGATAACAATACAACACATAACATAATAATTTTATAAATCACAACAATATAATATAAATATTTGCTTACCAATTATATTATTTAGAAAATTAGAATATAATATAAATAAATAAAAATTTAAAAAGAATAAAAAATTATATTACATAAACATTATCTAAGGTGATTATTTCGAAAAAAAGAAAGAAAGATTTTATATGATAAGGTGATTATTTGAAAAAAGAAAGATATAATTTATATTATGAAATAAGAATTATTGCAGTCCTTCCTTCACACAATTTTTATTACTATAATATAAAGGAACAACATAGCGATAGATAATAGAGCAACTTTTACATATAACAAATATACAAATTATATTTGTATGTTATAATTTTAGTTTGCATAATTGCGCTTCATAGCAAACTTTATGTTTGCTATGACTATTAATATGTATATTTCGCTATACATATACAAAAGAAGCAATTGTATAATTTGTGTTTTTATAAGCGAGAAAGAGAGAAAGACAAGAAAATTGGGCAAGGGAAGATCTGTATTTGTATAATCATAAGTGTATAGGACGAAAATATATGTATTTGTATTTGTATTTGTATATACAATCTTCTCTCGTTTTATACAAATATAAACGCAATTTATACATTTGTGTTTGTATAAAGTGAGAGAGGCGAGCGAGAGTGGCGAGCGAGAGTGGCGAGCGAGATTTAGGAAAGTGGCGAGCGAGATCTGGGAGAGGAGAGAGAGGGGAACGAAAAAATATGTATATATACAATTTTCTCTCGCTTTATACAAACACAAACGCATTTTATACATTTGTGCTTGTATAATGTGAGAGAGGCGAGGAGAGACTGCCCAACGAGAAACGAGAGTGGCGAGCGAGAAATTCAGGGAGAGAGGCGAAATGACATCAGTTTGCTACGGATTACAATTAAATCAAACTATGGTTATATCATTTAATTTGAATTAATAATTTGTTATTTTATACAATTTCCCTTAGATAAAATGCATAATTTATTTATTTTTGCTTGATCTCAAAACATTTTGCAGTTGTACTTAATAGTATGAGTTCTTTTTATAAATATTTATATTTAACTGACTCGTTACACGTATGAAAAACATGTACACTAAATTAATTGTTGTTTAATTCATATATATTATTAAGTGAATTATTAAAGTTGGGCACACCTTTAAGAAAATACTTGGAAACACATATTAAAAGTTCCTTTTCACTATAATCCTTGTAATTATTTTAAAATTATTTTACTAGAAAATGTAAAATATTTAAGAAATTCATTAAATGAAGGGATAATATGAGGGGAAAGTCTCAATAATATTCTTAAACTTTGAACAATTCATTTATTTTGAACTATATAAAAAAAAAATCATTTATTTTGAACTATATAAAAACAATCTCAACTATTCACTTAATTTGATATAAACTAGAGGGGGTACTTTAAAAAAGATGTAGTTCTTAAATATTCTTAGTTTTTTTTATTATGTGAAACTTTATTAATTAATTAAGGGTTAAATCAATTAAGAAGATATCACTAATATCTTCTTATTATACTCCCACCCTTTTTACTTGTTCATTTTTATTTATTAAATTATATCCTCAATTTATTAATATTCAGTTAATGTCGTTGAAAAATATAGTGAGTAAAGATATTTGGAATCCTATCAATTAATAGGGGTAAAATGGTAAATTCACTACGGCAATTAATATTTTCTTAATAAATGTGTCAAGTCAAAATTAGACAAGTAATAAGAGAATATAAAACACTACTTATTTTAAACCGGAAAGTATCATATTTATCGGATTTGGCTCCCCTCCATTTCGTCAAGTACACATCTAGATGAGAGACATGTGTACTATTTAATTGTTAAAGATTAAGATTATATTGCATTAATTAGTATCATAACCATAGTTAAGTGAATAAGTTTTGAAAAAAAATCTCTCCAAATTTAGTAAGAATAATTAATTCTTCTCAATTTTTGGTATCCACTATCCATATATTTATATCATTGATTTTATTTTATATTTAAATATTAAAATGGATAACAACGTTTAGTTTGTTTAGCCTAACAGTAGTCTTACAAAATATTTTGCCTTTAAATTGATGTTTTCTTTTATTTTATTTTATTAAAGAATTTTTTTTGATACTTTCACATTTGTAATTCTAATTATGCATTTTTTACTTCCCATTTTTATTATATGATTTCTATTTCAACCTAATATTTCACATTTGTAATTCTAATACTTCACAGTAGCCTAATTATGCATTTTTTACTTCTCAACCTAATATTTCAAGAATAAATTTGCTAGCATAGGAAGCAATTAAATAATGTACAATATTAATATTTGAATATAGAAATATAAAATGAAATCAAACGGTTCTAAGATTTGTAGGAATATTTTTCTTATCAAAGTTAAGAAATTATTTGTTCAAAACTTATTTCTTAACTATGGTTATGATACTAGTTAATGCAACATAATCTTGACCTTTAACAATTAAATAGTACACATGTCTTTCATCTAGATGTGTACTTGACGAAATGAAGGGAAAGGGTAATGTAGGGGAGCCAAATCCATATTTGTCATACCATTTGAAAAGAAAGTGCATTCAACAGCTTTGGCCTATTTAATATGAATGTTCTAACACTTCCGCTCTCCTCCACCAAAACCTGAAAATCAATTTTAGAAAAAATACAGTTAAGAAAAGGGGTTTAAATACATTTGGACTAAAATAATTTCATTCCCTAGTCAATGTGCACTTATTATTACTCCTATATATATATATATATATATATATTTATTTATCGACTATTATTTTAATGATCTGGTGTGTAACTATATAGTGTTAAGAATAAGAACAAAGTGGAGGACTAAAAGTTGAGTGATGAGAGTAGAATAGGATTGCACGTGATCATCGGTTCCGCCATTGTTAGAAGAGGTTTGAGCCATAATGTTTTTTAGTTTCTTTGAGACTCATTAAAATGGAGGTAAATGAGTTAGAAGGCCATTCAAGTCTGTTGAATTTAAAGAAAGGAAAAAAAAGATACGTGGTCCTAATTTGCTGACCCATATATTTGTCATAATGTAATAATAAGTATAGTATTCGGTTGCATAAATGTAATTATATAATTAAATATTTAAAATTAAAAGATAATTCGAAGTTTATATTTGATAAATCAGTGTACTATATATGAAATAGACGCTTGCATCTGAAGTCTTGTGTGATAAGAAGATACCACCTAGCTAGACCGTTGTTGTATGGGTAGAGAATTAACTAGTCAAAAACTCATATGTACAGTATGTTGCAGATATGAAAATGTTGAGATGGATGTATGGACGTATATATACTGGGAGCGTCGCAATAATATAGAGTTTTTACATATTTTTGTTAATCAATGAACAAGATCTACAAAGTCAGATCTTGAATCTCCCAAGTCATGATGAATCTTAATATAGCCCAGTAAGTTGGTGATTTGAACGTTCAATTTCCGATCTTGTAATCCCGGCCTCCCAAATTTCCCCTATCTCCGATTTTTTTTTTTTTCAAAAATAGAAATCTCCTGAGACTTAATAATCTCAGAAATTTTCACAAGCTAATGTTGATCACAATATCTATACTGATAGATTTCAGAATACTAGTACGGAGGTTCTCGCATTGCAATAAATTAAGATAGATATTCGAGCTATTTTTAAAGCCAAAGAAGGATCATAAGTACATATTTTTCTGGAATATGTAAATAACAAAGTAGAGAGATAAGTAATTTTGAACTCGAAATCATCATTTGAGCTCCGCTTTTTTACTTTTTTACTTTGGTGATTCGAACTCATAATTTTAGAGGTAAAAGGTGTCCAAATTCTTTCGTTTGATTTGTATGCTCTAAATAAATTACAATGAATTCCATCACACACACACGTCAACTGGGGACATCCTATCATTATTTGTCCACATACATTTAGGGGTTGTTTGGTTGGGAATCAGTGGCGGAGTCAGAAATTTCATCAAGGGTGTTCAAGATTATTTTTTTTAATAAGTGAGTTGAATGTTATTTGTTTAACTTAGTGATTCTACCATGAACGATCTCAACATTTGTCAATCAAATATAAACAATTGAATTTTTTTTTTCTTTTTTCTTTTTGATTTTATATGGTAAAAATATATGACTATTGTCTTTAAAGTGAAATATTGATAGAACAAATGTGTCTAGCTTTACGAATCATAGAAAAAAAAAAATCTTAAAAAAAAGAAGAAGATAAAACACATATATTGATTTTAGCTTTGGGTTTAAAGTTGTTAACATATATAAACACAAATTTTTAATGTAAATTGTTGGCTTTTTTGTTTTCACCATTCAAAAGTAGTGTATTATATCCTAGATAAAAATTAGAAATACATGATATCTAAATATTCAAAATTAAAATAATGTATTCATATATGTTAGAGGTTGTGTTCTGCTCTCAAAATAAAACCTAAAATGTTGTGCGCTCCGTGGAACTCGAACCTACAACTCGGGTGAAATTGAACACGCTTTGCCACTGTGCCACGGAATAGTTTATGTTGTGGCTGTTCAACATTAAATATTTATACCTTAAACCCAAAATTTGACCTCTCTATATGGTGTAATTTTCCGGCGAAGGGTATTCAACTAACCACCCTTAGATGGTTGTAGATCCACCCAGGTTGGGAACAAGTTATCCTAGGATTAGTTATCCTGGAGTTAGTTATCTTGTAATAACTTATCCCACTATGTAATGAGATAATCACTATGATATAAATGGTGTGATAAGTTATTCCAAACATGGCAACCAAACAAGATAGAAAATTTTTATGACATCACTATTTTCTTATCTCATCACTATTTATTTTTATCCCTCACACCAAACGACCCCTTACATGTATGTCTAATCCGTCAAATTAAGAGTTCATGACACGTTTAACTTGAGAGAAAAAAGGCCATGAATATTAATATGAAAAAATTACATAAATGCATATTATTTTAGGGGAAAAGGTTAAAAATATATCTCAACTTGCATTTATTAGTTAACTTTATCTTTACCGTTAAAATAAAATTAGTTTTACCCTCATCGTGACATCGTCTATAAACTTGTCACATGTACCCCTCGGTATAAAAAACCCCAAATACACAAAAATAATCCAATTTTACTTAAATTAATCAATTTTAATCCGATCACACCCACCTAATCATATAATCCACTTTTGTTAATCTTCATCTTTTAACCTAATTAGAAGAGATTTTTATAATTTGAGAAAAAACAAGAATAAGATATAATTAGCTCTTAACACTATGAAATTTATATAATTTTTACTATCAATATATCAGACGAAAATAGTCATAATCCTTTGGACTTATCCAAAGATCAAGAACATCTATGTGTTCACGTATTTTCTCTTATTATATAAGAGAGAGTTCATGCTGAAGCAGTCACGTCGATGAAGACGTGCCTACTTCAGCGCGTTTCAGGAAAAAAAAATATTTCTTTTGTTTTACTTTAATTTAATTAGTGTATAATTTTTTTGAAATTATGGAATTCATTTTAGCTATGACTTAGTTTTAAATTCAAGACTTCACACTGAAGCAAACACATCTCCATCAACTTGGTTGCTATAACGTGTTTTGGAATTTTTTTTAAAGAAATTACGTCTTTTGTTCTACTTTAATTTAATTAGTGTATAATTTTTTCGAAATTACGGAATCCATTTTAGCTATGACTTTTAGTTTTAAATTCATATTATTTAGTTATTGTTTTATTATTTTGAATGTCTGTAATATTTATTTATATCTTGTAACTACTTTGAGTAAAAAATTAACGATCGATGACGAAAAATACTTTAATTATGAACATCTTATTGGACCTCTTCACATTAAATTTGCGCAAACAAAAAAATAATTAACAAATTAGATATCTAAATATCATATTAAAATTTAATCAACTTTCTAAATTCTACATGTATCACATAAATTACGAGAAAAACAAACACTAAGATATTGGGCCCGTACTAGCACGAACACCTCTGTCTAGTTCTTTTATACAGTAAAATAATACTTTACTTCATTGATAGTAGTATAATTATTAAAATATAGGTACTTATTAGTAGAGCTGTCAAAATGGGTTGTCCCAACCCAACCCAACCCTAACGGGCTAGAGAGTTAAATGGGTTGGGACGGACTGACCCTTTTAATTAAAGGGCCTATAAAATAGCAGCCCAACCCAGCCCTAAGCGGGCCATGGGTTAGGACGGGTTGGCCCTTCAACCAAAAAAAGGACAACGTTTTCCTCTTAGAAAGGATACGAACATTGATGTCCAATGAACACGACATCAATACATACATAAATTCATTCATGAATTACACATGCTTCAGTGAATATTTACAAAACAAATACATAATAGCCAAGATACAATATTCTTATATCCGAGCAAAAAAACATTACATGATCACTATTTTCATAACAAGACAATAATGGAGAAGTGAAAAATTAGGCATAAAAACAAATGTGAAAAAGGTCAAAGATTCATAGTTATGATGGAGTAATGAACTTGAGCTAATAAGAAAATTTAGTGGACTAATGACCCTAAAGTGTAAAAGATATGTAAAAAATATAGTTTTGATTTTATATTGATACTTTAAAAATATTTATTGACAAAATCTTAACAAGTAAGACATTACTTAAAATATATATAATAAGTATTTTTAAAATTCACAGCCCGCGAGCTGGCCTCTGAGGCTTGCGGGTTGGCTCTACGAGGCCAGCGGGCCAAATGAGGTTGGGCTAAAAAACCTCGTTCCTTAATGGGCTGAAAAAATTAAGCCCAACCCTAATTAATTCAAAGGTTAGGTTGGGCTGGCCTAGCGGGCCAAGTCCATTTTGACAGCTCTACTTATTAGTATCTTCTTCGTTTTACTATTTGAACAACTCTCATTTTATTGTGTTTTCTTATTGTAACACCCCAGAAATTTTTTGAACTAAGACTCAAACCGTTCTTCGTAGTGAGTGAGATTTTACCAAGGAATTTAAAAATTTTTAAGTGTTAAGGTCACTAGATGTAGCACCTTGAGTTTCAAAAAGAATTAAATTGGAAATAGCAAAATCTGAAATTTTGCAAGTTATGCTTAAGTATGAGTTTTGGGTCGACTTCAAATGACCATAACTCCTAGCTCAAGATGAGTTAGGTGTGCTACCAGATACTGTAGCGAAGATCTTTGAATTATCTTTCCAACGCCGCCGAGTTTGGTAAGTTTCGAGGTCAGATGAGGGAGATATGGCCTTTTGAAGATCGGCTATCCAGTTAAGGAAAGTTAGCCGAAAATAAAGAGGGGTATTTTGGTCTTTTCCTTACCCAACCAGATTTAATTCGTTTTTAGTAATATTTTAGGGGTCTAATCTGATTAGGTTCAGTTTTATAATTCTAAAATACACCTAGGGTTTTAGTTGAGAGTTCAAGAAGAAGAGAAAAGAGGAGAAAAGAGAAAGGATGAAAGCGTTCGTTGAGATTCTTGCATCTTGTTGCGGATTTTCGCCATGGGTTTAATCCCTAAGAGGTATGTAAGCTTCCATAGTGTTGGGTTCTTTCACCCACACGCCAATCATGATTTATTCAGCGTAATTTCGTTCTTGAAATTTATGGATTTAAGTTCTTGATGAGTTCTT